TGTGATCCATATGTGCCCTGCGTTGTCGCCAATGTGTTAATTGATACCATGCTTGTGAATTTCTGGCAGGACTGGCAGGACCAAAACACTGATTTCTACATAGATCGGTCCCAGCTAGTCGTTGCGTAAATTTATATTTCAGTAACATATCACCACGATACGAACACAACAGAAACGCAGTATTTGGCGCGTGGCTATCGACCCAGGGAGGATTTGATTAAGGCTATCTCATACTGGAATTCACCCATCATGTACGGCTGTACCCACTGTCAAACATTATATTTCAACAAAATCTTTTAATCATTTATGAAAAAAGCTTTTCTGCATGCGAAACAAACAACCAATCAATACAGCACAAGGCAACGAAAATCAAGTGGTAAAGTGCGATCCCGCATAGCGAATATCAGCAATCGGACAATGTTATGGAACATACACACGCATTTTATCCAGATCAATAGTTATTGTAAGTGAAGAGTTTGCTTGAGAAGAGACGGAATAAGTAACTCGTCCAGATATGTCGCACGAAGGCTGCAGCATGTGCGAGTAAATTTTCTATTACTGAGTTTTATCGACAAGTAAAAAAGAATCCACCAGGGTTGCAAAATAAAGGACAAATAGGATAACCAACGGTAGCGAAGACGACCCCTGACAGATTTCACGCCCACCATTCCCTATGGAATCGCTTTTGTGGAAATCGAAAGTTGTTTATGCAAAACAAGTTTGCTTCCTCTCTAGCGCAGGTGGGCTTCTCCATTTGCATGTTTGGGACAAATCAGGCAGATAGCAGAGAACGCGGCTCAATTCCTCAGTCAGAAGCGGTCTGTCAAACGTCTTTTTGTAGAATACTTGGAAAAGTTCCTTGAACAGAAATATAGTCGCAGTAGTTGTAGGCGGCTTGTGTGGGCTAACTAAAAGCTAGAAAGCCTGAGATGAGTTGATGTATTCCGGAGAATCGTTAGTGCTTAGAGTAAGAAAGGGAAGTCACCGAGTATTCTGACCTGTGCTCTGGAACTCTGAGTGTAACCTAAACAGACAATGGTTTTTTACAAATACAGTCGTCATTATACAGTGTTACGGTCGCCTTTTGCATGACACTGTTCTCAAGTGGTCGTGCTAAGGTCTTAACAAGACCCTTTGCTTCAGAGGCAGCATCCTCCCAGACAGACTATTACACCAGCGAGGACAGTGTCTACCGCTGCCAGAGACCAGAGCACATGCTGACAGCCAGAACGAGTAGCCGAACTGGTCCTTGTGGTCTAGAGTGTTGCCTGAAATGAACACGGCATCGATCAGCATTGATAAGAGTTTTTCATACATGCCAGACAGCGCGCCTGACTGAAAGAGGGGTAGGGGAGTACAACTGTGTACCGTTCCAAGTGCGATATCAGGCGGTGGCACCAGCGATGCCGCGCTCGGAACATAATGAATCAACTTCCCAAACCTTGGGCGGATTGCCAAGTTCGGGATTAGGAGGGGAAAGAACGAGTCCACTCCCTGTCCTGTATCATACTTTTTGCATTTATTCCTTTACAAGCGGCCACAATAGCTACAGTGCTACGGTCGGCTCAGTGGTAGAGATTTGTTTGACCCCTTTCAAACTATGACACATTGCTTGGTTTATATACGGTACAGTCTCTTCATATATTACAGTACTAACAGATGTCTACGCATAAAGGGGAGGCGGTCATATGGCGCGATCACATTGGCATTAGAGCGCACAGGCCGCAATTTCCCATCCTGCTGTGGCCGGACAACTCGTCCGCATCACTCAACTATTAGACTTCAGTAATTGATCGATCTGATAATTTGGGTCTCAAAACCTCGCTGAGTCCCAAAGATTAAAAAAGAGCGGATAGCTTCTGCTGGCCTGATGCCAAGGCAAGAGGAACGGAACAGAATGTGTTGCGCGGACGAGTTGTCCGGCCACAACAGGATGTGTCAATTGTGTCCTGTGCGCTCCAATGCCCGCGCCATATGACGCACACCCCGCAATAAGGAGCACCAGATGCTAGAGTAAAAAGAAGTGAATAATTTACAGATTCTAAGCTTAAAGGCAAGATTCAAGCTTAAACTGATGAGGTAATTCTACTCAAATGTGAAAGTAGGGGTGGGAGGTGGACCGCCAGTGGAGAAAAAAGGAAAAAAATCCTGAAATACACAGGAAATACGAGCCTTTTGCTCTACGCTGCGGAGAAGTTCAAAAGGCCGGCAGGGAGATGAGAGATAATGTGAGCGCGGAGAGCGGTAGAGAAATCCGAGAAGAGAGAGCATAGCAGATCAACATTGCGACGCAGACAAATATCGAGCGGTGGGCGGAGCGTGTCGCAACAGGTGGAGCGTGTCAAAGTCCTTGGCCCCTAGCGCCTTAGTGACGCATTTGGATGCGGGAACTGTAGTCCCTGCGTGCTCTCAATGCACTCTACGCCACTTAAGTGGCGTTATTGGTTGGTCTCAGCTCGACACTTGCCTTAAAGGGAAAGTAACATATGAACGATTAGATCAGGGTGGTTTGAAGTGCACTAACGCGGTTAGAGCAGCTTTTGCGGATGTGCTTGCTAGATATAAAGAAAAAGGTAGGAATTGTCTCCTCACCTAAATCGTCCTTGTTATTCACTGCGTAGACAATAACAGCTACGAGTAGGAAGACGGTCGTAATGAAGGACAATATTGTCAACGGATGAATTATGTATTTCTTGCAGCAACAGGCACAACTGGAAAATTTAGGAAATTACAGGGTTAAACTAGTGTTGTCTCCTTTTTGCATTCAATCTTTCTTTTTGCAAGAGACCGCGAATCGAGGCACCTTTTTTGGGTTGAGGTGGTTTGTGACAAAGCAGCGCCTTCTACACGCGCGCAAGGATTCCACGATGGACTTCCCGTTGATGCTCGGCCCGGGCCCTGTCCAACCAACTCTTCCCATTCTCCGTGTGAGTTTTTGGTTTCCAGTTTGTCTGAATGGATAAAAACACTGACTTGTACATCGGCTGGCCCCCGCAAGTCATTGTATAGGCTATATCGCATTCAAACGCTACTACGAATGTACAAATGGAAGTAGAATGCGTGCCGCATTCCAAAAAGATTGACCAACGGCAAATGCTTTATCCTCTTAGCTCACTACGTTGGGGTAAGGTGAAACCTAGTGGTATGAAGTATTCTCCTTGCAAGGGTTCTCGCCACGATCCATACCCTAACCACTAAGCCTCACTGACTAAATACTAACCAGATTTTTCTGCTTCCTCGTTTGGCCATCGGAAATTTCTTGCACGTAAGCTATGGGAAGAGTCTTTGGGCCTTCCAGTCTGGTTCAAGCTTTATTGTCGTCAATACACATACTGTCTGACGTATCTGTTGAAAGCATCTCATGTTTTCAGTAATTTATGAAGTTCAGAAGAGCAGTGCCATCTCCAGCACTTCCACAAATCGCTAGGGGAGAGCACTACCGTATCATCTATTGTAGAGCGTAAGTGGGAGGACAGGGCCCCGAAATAAATGAAAATATCATAATAATGAAATATCAACAAAATTTCGAATCAATCGATAAAGCAGCACCTCAGTCCCAGTTCAATAATTTTCCCATAAGCCCTGCCTTTACGAAACTTCACTTCAGTTCCATAAACTTCACATAGATATAAACGAGTCCAAAAAATTATTGACAACATTTCGAAGGCCAGAGCTAACGCCATGAAGATGGCAACCGTTTTCATGTACCCGTGCTGCGCTGTGCCTGAAGAGAAAACATGAGGAAGTCGAGTGTTCTGGAAAATGCTTCACGTTCAAACCAACCTTCTCGAATGGGTCGCAGTTTTTCAGATCACTTAGACATTTCCATGAGAACAACTCTGCAAATGACTAGTTAGGATAACGTTGATAGGGCGGGAATTAACATCTCCTCAAATTCCTACTTATTGTTTTGAAAGGCAACTGCTTTCCCAAAACTTACTTCCATTGAATGTCGGTATTGCGGTCAGTACCATGCAGGCAATCATCACAAGGCCGTACACGATTTGTCCGCATGCTGAGAAAATGCACATCCCTAAAAGCACTTGAAAATTCAAATGAAAAAGCAAAAGTTCCGGCAAAAGTTCATCGGCATAATTTTACGATGAAAGCTGAGGCTGAAGCTAAATTTAGGAACAAAGGGTGGGTATGCTGCATTTCACAAAAATTTTATATGACATTTCTTAAGACGAACGTGGGGCAATTAAGAAAGAAAAAACCTTTATAAACGAAATAATTAAAATGGTTCGTTTCGCTCCTTCCTCAGACGAACCTTATTATTTCGTCAATCCCCGGAGCTCATCAGTGAGTTGGGATTGGTGAAATGAGAATGACAAGTAGCGTTGCTATCGAAGTCAATTTGGAGATCGAGTCGCTGACCTAGGTTTGCCAACCAACCCTTCTCCGCTACGAATTGGTTCAAGTCGTGACAGCCTTGTTTAATATGATCAGAACACTGCCGTGCCCTCGCAAAACAATGTGCTCACCAAATATGCATTAAATTGCGACTGCGATATCGAACGAATGTCAATTCATGGCGCATCGCAAAACGAATTACCTTTGTCCCAACCTGTCTTTATTCTCTCCCTCTTGCCTTCGCCAGCAAAGAGGATATTACAGGGGCGATATTATGGCGTAAACTGCAGCACTCCATTTTATTTTATCGAAGTATCGCATTAAATTGAAAAGCATCAATATAGCATGGTAATACGTAGATTTATTATTAGGTTGTCCCATAATTAGTGAATCACTTTGGGTATTTTTGAATTCAAATTTTTTTCTTTTTTATTCAAAGTCCTTGCTCATCCAAACATACACCTCTGTCATCTATAATGTAT